CATCTGCTCAGCAAAGGCTGGAGCTGCTGGACTTGTCCCTTTACTCACAGCCAGTGACCAAGACACCCTCACCTCCTATTATTTTGCCAGTCATTTTCTCTGCTGGTTTTCCCACCCTTCAACTCACATACCTCAAAGGACTTGAGGCCACTCAGGGGTTGTGTCCTACTTATTATTGTCAATTGTGTCCACTTGAGTGCACTCATTGAGTCAGAAATCTTCATCCGGTGGAGCTGCTGGAAGACCCTTCTATTTAAGAACTCATTTGTTACAAAGAATGATCTCTTGCATTTGCTTCTTGTTTGTCCAGGGAGTTCCTTTGTCATTTACTTGCTTGGTGCAAGGTATTTACTGAGCACTGCATTCCTGGCAGCAGCACAGAAACTGCTTGGGCTCAATTAATTGGTGTTTGACATTACATTCCTACTAAGATCCACCTCTTAAAAAGCACTGGCAAACGTTGCTACCATGTTCTGCTGCAAGCAGAAGATAAGAAAAGAAGAAAACATACCAAACATCATCCTTGTTACGTATGTGGCAATACTAACCTTGCTGGATGAGCCATTATAACTTTGCTTTCTGGTCCACAGAAGCAGCTCATAAAATCTGGCTCTGCTGCGCAGCTCTGTCTGCTCACAGCTAATGCTTAATTAAATGGATACTTCATAAGCAAAGCACAAGGAAGGACAAATATCCTTTCCATTTCAGCAAGACCATAACTCACTCCCACACAAACATCCACTGCTGCAAGTTTAGGAGTGTGTAACAGCACATCATCAACACAGCTCCAGTGCTGAGGTACTGATATTTGCTCTGGATTTGTTCAACATCCACATACAACACAAGAAAACATTTATTTTGGGAAAGAACTTGAATAAGGGAAAAAACCCAAATCCATAAAAGTCCTAACAGCGAATAGTAAGTACCATGCACATTTTCTTAAGTCAGCAATTCAGTTTGTCTTTTGTTTACCAACTTTTGGTTGAAAAGATGTTTTCTCGGTATTGTTTAGTAGCAAATTGCCAGAGAATGGAGCTGATCAGTTCACACCCGGCCAGAAGAATGTCATGCATATGGATAAGTAGAGGAAGTGCAGAGAGAAAAAGAAACGATAATGAAGGGATAGAGAAGGGAACTCGAGTGTTTCCTGTGAACTGTCTTCTGTATGTTGTCACCTTGTCCCAGTTCTTGAAAGAAGTGACACAGCCTAGAGAGAAAATCCAGCAGTGTCTACTGCAAAGGTGAGAGTAAACTCAGACCCTGACAATTACTAAATAAGAACATAATTAATTATTCCTTCAACTGAATAGTCCTGAATCCTACCACAAATCAATCAGCTCTTCTTGCCTAAGAAGCTCTGACTCTATTTTAGCTCAATGAAAACAAAATCAATGAAGGCCAATTATAGCCCATCTCGTTAGAGTATGCAAATAGTGCACGGGAGAGCAGAGCTGAGACTGCCTCAGAGGGAGACCCGGCAGGCAAAGGCAAACGTGAGCTGGTGCTGGCACCTAGCTGTGTGTGCTGTGATACACCAGCTCCTTCCATTTGGTTTTCCAGGGAATGCAAACATAGCAGAGACCAACTGTGCCAATAGCAGATCTTCTGCAGCCTGCCCAGGGGGGCTGTGGCTGCCCCAAGCCTGGCAGTGTTCACAGCCAGGTTGGCTGAGCCTTGAGCAACCTGCTCTGGTGGGAGGTGTCCCTGCCCAGGGCAGGGGTTGAGGCTGGGTGATCTCTAAGCTCCATTCCAAGCCCTAAAATTCAGTGATTCTTTTGCCAAACCACTGCAGCCCTCCCAGTGTGTTTTGGAAACCTCTGCAAACACAGCAGTAAACACCCTGTCCAAATAAGGACCAGAAAGCAAAATGTTTCCAGGAAATAGAAGTCCTAGCCCTGAAATAACACTGATGATCAACTCCCCAGGAGTTTTCTTGAAGAGCTAAAAGAGTGCTACAAGGGAGGAGCAGGGATGCAAGACAAACACTCCTGCCATCCCCTCAAGGTTTCTTTGGAACTCCTCTGAAACACAGTAAACCCTGCAGTGGTGGAAGTGGGAGCACAGGTGAATCCTGACCAGAACATACTCAAAACTGAGAGGACAGCATTTCAAGCTCAAACAGAAGCAAAGATTTTTGCCCCTTTGGTGCATGAAGAGGTGGTCGTAAGACCGCCCTGCACAGCTCCAAAAGATACTAAGATGTCTACAAACTAAGGATGCAGCTTGAGCACTACATTCCCTGCCCAGCCAGTTATTTCAAAAGCTATAACTGCACTCCTTTCCCAGTCATGTTTTCTGTTTAATTCCTGGGTTACCTGTAATTTGACAGAGCTAGTCCAAGTCTCTGCTATTTCTGAAGTAAATAAGATTGAAGACTCACATTTGAGCACTTCCCAGTGAAACTCAGTTTCAAGAGAATCTCAAGGTATCAAGCACAATTTCCAAAGACCTTTTGGCACCCGGAGACTGAGATACAAGTTTTTAAGCATCTCAAACAGCATTGATTCATAGAACCATAGAATTTAAGGGGTTGGAATGGACCTTAGAGATCAGCTAGTCCTAATGCTCCCTGCTCTGGGCGGGGACACAATTAATACCTACCAGACACTTAACAACCCCAAAAAGCCTAAATACCCTCCCTTACCCCCCAAAAACCTCAGACAACACATTTAGCTTTTATCCTAAGCCAGCCCAGCTAAATAGAGGTGGATATGGGACTTCACTTGGTCACTGGTTTCCTCATATGGTCAATTTAGGGTTTGAATCCCTCTCCCTCCCCACCAGGTAGCATCATTAATATCACTGACCAAGCCAAGGAAGACATTTCTGCTGCTGACAAGGGATGATCCTTCTGAATTCCCATCCCTTTTCCTAAGCACGAACAGAGCATTACGAGTCGAGTGCACAAGTGGAAGTTTGATTGCAGTGGTTGGAAAGGCTTAATCCCTGCCCAGGCTGCTGAATTGCTCAGTGCAATAATGAAGTGGAACCATTGCACAAGATGAAGCAGGAGGCAGAAGATTAGAGTGTGCCATGTGAGCTTGGTTTGTGCCACAGCTGTCCTCACATGGTTCACACTCCATCACGCTCACTTCATCCAGTGCTGTCAAGCATCTGGACTAATCCATTATCCTAGGATGAAGTGAGGGGAAAACAAGGCCAATCTCATTGTTCTTCAGGGTAACTAATTGCAGGAGACAGTGACTTGCTACTCTCTGGGAATGGAGGTAGAAAGACAGAGCCCACAGGCAAGTAATATGGAGAGAAACAAACCTGAAAGGACAGAGACATCATTCTTCAGTGCCAAAACCTGGGCCTTTCTCACACATTAGGCATGAAACTGCACAGGCAGAGAACACTGAAAAACTAAGGTGAAAACTAGGTTACAACAAACACATGGCAAAAGATAGAGAAACCCTGGCAGTGTTCACAGCCAGGCTGGATGAAGCTTTGAGCAACCTGGTATGGTGGGAGGTGCAGAGGGTTGGGACTTAATTATCTCTAAACTCCATTCCAACCCCCAAAATTCTCTGATTCTATGCTGCATGTCCATGTAATAGTCAATAAATACATATATTTCTCCTTGTACAAGTGCATGGACTGAGATAAGAATAAACAACCCAGGAACACTTTTCTGTTCTACCAGATGTTTAAATTTTGATTTGTAGAACACAAATCTTTTTTTCCCAGCACTAAACTCTTTACCACATGAAAACATTACTTACAAATGAACTCTGCTAAAAATTTAGAAGCTCATAGATGTTTTCCAGTTAATTTTAGATTCATTAGTTGAGTCTCCCTGATATGACTTCATTTTGTAATTTCAAGTTCAGTCTGCATGATGAGCAGAAAAGATCAACACCAAGCCATATGTTCCTTAGAGGGAAAAAAGGGAAGAAAAAACAGGTTAAAAATGAGGTAAGAGCTCAACTCCAATTGGCCCTTCGTGCCTCAGTGACTGAAGTTTTCATGATTCTGATGTTAAGCACTCAGGAAGATTAGCTGTCTTGATTCCATACATTTAGGGAAGAGTAGAAATGCCACACAAGACCCATTAGAAATATAGAATTTATTTCTCATTACATTCAAACAGCACTATCTTGCAGATTTGGACATGCCATGTCTCCTCTCCCAGGTGACTCCTGGACTCTGTTTCTAGTTGTGACAGCTATTGCTAGAAGACACATGATTTATCTCTGGAGTGGCTCTCTTGAGAACTTTGAGTGATTAGCAGCAAATTTTTCAGAGGACTCTTGAAAAACCACTTCATAAACATTCCTCTGTCCTAGCCTATATTATCCAGCTGCTTCCTGGACCTTACCTTCACAGCTCCAGAGCTCAAGAAAACCATTTCAACAACAGCAGTGAACAGGGAGAGTGAGGACTTGCCTCTTCTCTTCCTACAGGTAGCAGTTCTCAATAAAGGCAACCCCATGTTATAAGGCCTCCAAATTCTTCATGGTCCATGAACTGTGCTTTGGGCAGGGCTTTTTCCCATCCTTTAGGGTCTTCCATCCTCTCCTTGCACATCCAGGTGCAAGCTAAGCAAAATACAGTCCTGACATCCTAAAACATGTTATTTAAGTCATCTACAACAAAAGTCTGTGAGCAACAGGGGGAAGAAAAACCAACAACAAAAAAAAAAGAAGACAATTTTGTTATGTTTAAACCTTCAAAGGACTGTGGACCAAAGGTACCTTCCCAAACAGTGTCCTGCCAGTGTGTTCAGTGCACTCCCCTTCATCCTTACCAACTCAGAAACACTGAGGTGCTTTTCTCCTTTTGGCTTTGAACTCTGCACACATTCAGTGTGGGAATCCCAGGAGGTGCAGGGCATCATCACATGAATATGGGCAGGGGCAGGAGAGGGAGAAGGGTGAGCAGGGAGGGACACAGACACTGCCCTGGGCAGCCTCTGCACCAGCCACACAGGGACTATGCACACACACGACGAAGGATTTTGTTGGTTTGTTGCTCCATTTTTTTGCCTTTTTTTTTTTGTTTTAATTAAAAAACATCCTTCCTGCTAAGGCTGGGTGTGCAAAGTTTGTTTTCAAGAACCACCATTCAGTCTGACTCCGCTCCTGCAGAAAGGCTTCCTATGGATCCATTTCTCACTAGCATCTTGCTGTAGTTTTTCTGCTGCTCTTCTTTGAAGGTATCTTTGACTTTGGCTCGTTTCAGACCTCCATCCCTGGAACAGAGCAAGAGGGGAAATTAATCTATCATGATTGTTACCATTATTGTTAGCAAACTATGCATTTTATGGAGAAGAGAAGGTTATGCGGAGACCTCAGAGCACCTTCCAGGAGCTGAAGGGGCTCCAGGGAAGCTGCAGAGGGATCTATGTTAGGAGCTGCAGGGACAGGACAAGGGGCAACGGGCACAAATTGAAAGAGGGAAATTTAGGTGAGATCTTAGGTAGAAGTTTTCGACCCTGTCCCAGGGTGCCCAGGGAGGCTGTGGCTGCCCCAACCCTGGCAGTGTTCACAGCCAGGTTGGATGGGCCTTGAGCAACCTGCTCTGCTGGGAGGTGTCCCTGCCCAGGGCAGGGGTTGGGGCTGGGTGAGCTCTCAGCTCCATTCCAACCCCTGCAGTTCTATGATTCTCTGATCACTCACCAGGGAAGTTCAGTCAGTCCTCCTTGGCGAGCAATGGCTGATCTCACTCTGTTGGCAAACTGAACAGCATCTTCACCTTCCTTCAAGGGCCATAAATTCAACATAATCAAAGCAAAGAGAAATGAATAGAGACAGACTTTCATAACATTTTTCCTCTGCCTCCTCATCAAAGTAGGTCACTGTCAAACAATCCATCCCTTAACATGCCAACATCACAACCTGATGTTCCCATGGGATAATATTTTAGGTCATTTTTTCCCCTCAAGTTTTGAGATCATGAGAAAATTAACACTACCACTACTGTGAACAGCACTGTATTTACTGCTGTCCTTTGTATATTGGCTGCACAGCTAATGGTACCAAGCTAGGAAAAGCTAAGTCAAATTGTGCATTGGTCAATGGTGACAAAATCCAGTATAAAACTGATTTGGAGACATGGAGTGGGTAGACGTTTTGGGAAAAAAAGTGAAAAGGCACTTGCAGATACAGGCAAGCTCTTAACTAGTGATCAGTCAGCTAGATTACCTTCCTAACCATTGGAGGCATGTACCAAACGTTGCAGACGATAGCCCAGCTGGTCATGATGCGCAGCAGATAGCTCACGATGTTGTATTTGCTGCTGTTCCAGAAGGCATCTCCAAACTGAGGATCATACTGCAAAGGGTCAGAAAAAGCAAATTATAACACCCTTTCCCCTCAGAGCATCACACTCTCAGATCTGTGAGTACATGGCAGAACCAGCAGCAGATGTCATTTGCCAGGACAGGCAATAGAGTTAAGTGCTGGGAGCAACATGCTGCTCTTCCCTTCAGCACTAGGAAGGGCTTCTTGCTGCATCTCCCTTCTTTCCAGCTTTCTGGAGGAAAGAGCTGTCCCAATCAAGGCTTACTAGTCAGGCTCCATAGGCCAAAGAACTTCACTTTCATTTCAGCCACTCATACGCCAGAAGTCAGACAGGGACTCCTTCCCTTGCCCAGGGAAGTAGCAGCTGCCCCAATCCTGGCAGAGCTCAAAGCCAGGTTGGATGAAGCCTTGAGAAATCTGCTCTGGTGGGAGGTGTCCCTGCCCAGGGCAGGGGGTTGAGGCTGGATGAACTCTAAGGTCCATTCCAACCCCTAAAATTCTCTAATTCTAGGGCAGAGAGCAGCCAATTTCCAGAACTCCAGTCCTTTCAGTCGTAGCTGTGCTGAGACACCTTCCTGCCACCCTAATAAACCCAGCTCCCAACCCTTGGAATTCAGCAGCCACTTACCTTGATTGCAACAGGATAGATTGTCCCTCCTATCTCAAAGCTCCCCTTCTTGAACATCATCACAGATGTGTTGTTTATGCAGGTGCCTGTCCAGAAGATAAAGTCATTACTTCACACAGCCAACCACATCTGAGTAGCAACACCCCATGAATGTACATGTCTTACCCAAAAAGAGTGAGAGCATTTGCTGCTCACTGACTAAGTTGAGCATATCTCTGATCTAGTGGGGAAGTGTCCCTGCCCAGGGCAGGGGGCTGGGACTAGATGATTTCTAAGGCCCATTCTAACTCCTAAAATCCTATAATTCTATGACCTACACTGAATGGAGATAAGAAGTAGTTCAGCTTCTTACCTTCTGGAAAGATCAAGATAGGCAGTTTGCTCTTATCTGCCACATGTTCCCTGAGCCTGTGAAAGCAGAAGAAAAGCTTTAAAACCATTTCCTTTCTACCCTTCTTTGCCCAGGCAGGTGCATTAAAAGTATCTTTACATATCACGTATTTGTTTGATACCAAAGCCTTTTACTAGACACTAATGTGTACTTGATTTCCTGTTTCCCTAAGAACTGAAGCTTTGTGCACTCCATCCCTTATGCCCCAAGTGCATTTCATTGAAGCAACATCCTCTTTTCTTCCCTCTGTGATGCTTTATTGATGACTGTCAGGGAAGACAACAAATATAAGCCATTAACTTAGTCCAACTAACTCTGATCAACATAACCATCAGGAAATTGTCTACACTAGAAAAACTTCAGATGTCTTAAGAGGCTCTTCAATGCCTACAGCTCACACTACCTGAGTAACACTTGGATGACTTGGCAAAACTGTCCTGAAGCCAGTAAGGTGGGAAAAAGTTAACCTGTCCAAATTCCCCTAAAAGTTCTTTAAAAATAAGGATGAATTCCTAGCACTGTTCCATACTGTTCAGAGATATATCTTGGGTGACATTCTGTCCAAAACCACTTCTGTAAGCAGCTCATTCTTGTAACTATTCACATTGCCCCTCACCCAAACAAGCAAAGCTTTTTATTTCTAGTGGCTCACCATTTCAAATGAAATTGAGGAAGTCTGCATCATTTTACAGATAATATTGTCGATTTTATCATCAGTATTTCTCTTCAACAGAAAGCCCCAGAATTTAAGTATCCCCACATCCTTTCAAAATGCATATTTGAATTCATCAGACATTACTTATGATGCTGATGGTTACCCAGCTGAGATGTTTTGTGACAGTCTGCAATCCAGACCTTACCAGAACCTTTGGTCTGAAGCATTTTCACCCTGTATAAACCTTTCAAGCCTTCCCTGGTGACATGTGAACCTGACATTTTGCCCAGTCTACTGCAGCAAAGCCCACACAAGTAAGTTTAGTCAGGTCACTGAGTGATCCAGTTTGCTGTTCACTAACCCTGCAAGTCACTCCAAAAACTGCTGCCCTGATTATTTCCACTCCTACCTATATCTACCCCTTTACAACACTCTGCATCATTCCAGCCTACAGCAATATGTTCTCAGTCCAGTGCAGTGTTTGGATTGAGAGTGGAAATCATGTTGATGACACTGATGTTTTGGTCTCTGCTAGGCTGCGTTTGTCTTACACCAAGGACAAGGGGCAATGGGTTCAAGTTGAAAGAGGGGAAATTGAGGTTAGATCTTAGGCTGAAGTTTTCCCTGTGAGGGTGGTGAGACACTGGCCCAGGTTGCCCAGGGAGGCTGTGGCTGCCCCAAGCCTGGCAGTGTTCACAGCCAGGTTGGCTGAGCCTTGAGCAACCTGCTCTGGTGGGAGGTGTCCCTGCCCAGGGCAGGGGTTGGGGCTGGGTGAGCTCTAAGCTCCATTCCAACCCCTAAAATTCTATGGTTTTATCTCATTTTATTCTCAATTATTGAACTGCTCTTATCTCTACCTATAGATTTCACCTCTGTTTCTCCTCCCCATTGCACTAGGAGGGGGGAAAGGGGGAGGAGGGAGTGAGAGTGTGGTTCTTGGCTGCTGCCTGGGGTTAAACAATGACACAACCCCGTCAGCTTCCCCGGTTTCTCCGAGGAGGAGAGCCCCGGGCACGGGCAGGGAGCAGCTCATGGCTCACCTCTTGGTCACTAGATGGCGATCCTTGATCTCGGAGCGCTCGAACCAGACGTGAGGACAAGCCTTGACCGTGGCTCGCTGAATGACTCCCATCAGCCCACCGTGAACCTGCCCAACCTGCAAACCCAGCAAGGCACAGCAACAGCTGAGACACTGGGAAAAGCACAACTTCCTCTTCTCCATCCCTCCCAGAGAAACCCAAACACACTGGAGGCTGCAAACCAGCATTGAGCAGTGACCACAAGACCGTTCACTTCAAAGGACCTGGATGTGTGCATGGAGGCACATCTCAAGAACTTCTGTAGGTGAAGAGTTTGGCATTCACACTGCCAGGACAGCTTTGCCAACACAGAGCTTGGAGTCAACTTCAGCACAATTTACACTTTGCCCCACCGACTAGTGCTCAAGTAAACAGCTCCACTGTGAAAGTTAAGCACCAAGTCACAGAATCAGAGTTGGAAGGGACCCTTGAGGATCAACTAGTCCAGCTCCTGGCCCTGCACAGGACTTCCCCAGGAATCACACCCAGTGCCTGAGAGTGTTGTTCAAACACCCCTTGAGCTCTGTCAGCCTTGGGGGTGTGCCCACTGCCCTGGGAGCTGTTCAGTGCCCAAACACCTCTGGCGGAAGAACCATTTGCTAATCTCCAGCCTAACCCTCCCTGACACAACCTCAGACCGTTCCTTTGGGTCCTGTCACTGGTTGCCAGAGAGATGATGTCAGTTCACAACCAATATCCCACAGTCTTTCCCTTTCCTGGTCCCTCTCCCTCTTCTGTGGCCATAATTGATCTCCTCTTACCATGGCATAGCATCCATCATTTGTGAGAATGATTGCGTCTATTGGTGATGTGTGGTTGGCAACACAAATTCCTCCTTTCTGAGGTCTGTTTTCCCTGCAATTACATATTTTTGGTTAGACTATTAAGCACCACATCACACACACAACAGTTCCATGATGCTGTCAGGTGAGGCAGCATCTACTGTGACATTCACTTGCAGGTCAGGAAAGAGTTATTCCCATTTCAAATGGGATAGTCATACACTCAGAAGTATAGACGTATTTTTGCTGTAGCATCAGCTCACTCACTTGTTGTGGTAATAGATAGTACCAGACAGAGCTCTGACAAGGATGCGAGAGCATGTGAGGTGAACCACTTCACTCAGGTAGTTTTTCACCCTGAAAGAAATCACAGACACCTTGAGCATCCTGGAAAGCAGCTAGACACACATGCAATATTCTCCAGACTAATCAACACAACTCAGGGCTGAAATTTTGCCGGTGTTCTGGAGCACAGAGGGTCATTCCCAGCTTTAACACTCAGCTAAGACGCGTCACACCCTTGGTGTCACTTACATATGCAAGGCTGTTGTCTCCTCACTGGATGTTTTTCATCCAAACACCACTATCACCCCTAGAATGCTCTCATGACAGTCTCTCATGACAGCAGGAGGAGCCATCAGAAATCATCTGCCTCAGTGCCAAGCCTGGCACAAAGGCAACCTCAGCCCAAGTTGAAGATGCCACTAATAGCAAGGCCACAAGTTTGTGGGTGGGAATGTCAGTAGTCTGTTGTTTGTAAATCTGCCCAATCCTAACCCTCAGCTGTTTGCACTGGTACAACTTGGCAAGTTGATCCCTCATGCACAGTACCCACCTGCTGTTTGGCAGCTGTCCTACCACTGTTGCTCCCACAATCATTGACACAATCCCAATAGCAGCGAGGGTAAAGCTACAGACAAAAGAGACATCCAGTCAACATTAGCAGTTCTGCTCACTGTAGTAATACTTTTCCCCTTGAAAATGGGAAGAGATTGCAAAAATTCAATTATTTCTCAGACATTTGATATAGGTACTAGTCTTCATTATGGTTTTTCAGTATCTGAAGGGGCTCCAAGGAAGCTGCAGAAGGACTTGGTGTTAGGAGCTGCAGGGATAGGACAAGGGGCAATGGGCACAAACTGAAGGATGGGAAAATTTAGGTTAGATCTTAGGCAGAAGTTTTCCCTGTGAGGGTGGTGAGACACTGTTCCAGGTTGCCCAGGGAGGCTGTGGCTGCCCCAACCCTGCCCCACAGCCCTGGCTGTGTTCACAGCTAGGTTGGCTGAGCCTTGAGCAACCTGCTCTGGTGGGAGGTATCCCTGCCCAGGGCAGGGGTTGGGGCTGGATGGTCTCTAAGCTCCATTCCAACCCCTAAAATTCTGGGATTCTGATTCTATGATATCCAGTTCTCCAACTCAACAATTCCCTGACCTGTTGCTCAAGATCATGGTCTAGCAAAGGCAGCAGATTCAGATACTCTCACGCATAGTGTCAGGGAGCTTTACAGCTCACCCACCTTACACACTGCCAACACACAACTTTGGGAAAGCATTAATGGAAAAGATGAGCACTTTAGCCCTAATCTACTCTCCACAGTGAATGACAAGATAAAAGTCTTCTGAACAGCTTAAACCATTCAAAGGAGCCTCTAAGAAGGTTAATCTCCTGTATCTGCCAATGCTGCTTTTGCGTTTTTAAAAAAAGCTGAGATGATATTGAGCAAGAAAACACAAATTTACAGGTTCCCAGCCTGCCAAAATCCCTCAGCCCCCAGGAGCTCACCGTAAGGGTAGCAGTAGGCAGTACCGCACTATGACCCCGATAACCCACACCACAGTCAGCCTCAGGCTGATGTAATGGAAGTTGACATTAGTCCTTGTGAGCAGATTCCAGGAGAGCAGCTCCTCTGAAGAAAACCTTTGGGTGACTTCATCTTCCACAATGGCCTCGAAGCCTTTTCTGCAGAAGTAGAAGATGTCAGAGAACTCGAAGTCGGCTCGACGCAGACGTGCAATTTCCTTCTCCATGGGCGTTTCGTCTCTCTGAATGATACCTTGAGAAGGAAAGGGGAACCACATAAGGAAATGGGAAGTAACAGCCATCCTCCAAATCACTTCTCACTCTGTGTGACTCAAGGAGACCAAGTTACTGTCAGAGCCCCTCCTATGATGCAAAATCAGATGCATAGTGAACACAGCATACTCTTCAGTAGGCCAATTCTAGCTCCCCTTCCCTCACATCAACACACTGAGCAGCAAATACATCAAGTTCTGTTGCCTCCAGAACATGCAGAAAGAAGGCATCTGACATGTTCTCAACTCAGCAACTTTATCCAAGACCATCTTATGCTTCCAGAAGAAACCAAATGCGACCTTGGTCTTTCCATTCCCTTCTGTGCTCTGTATATTTAAGGGCATTCACTCTCCTTGATGGATGTTTCCCTGTTCCCCAAGCCCATCTCTTGTCTAGCACTGAGCTGAGAAGCATTCTACTGCTACCTGCCAAAGGCCCAGGCTGCAACACCGTGCATGGACCAGCTCTGAACCAAACAGAACTCCCTTCCTTCACAGCACAAGTCTTTTCTGTAACTACAGACAGAACCACACTATATTTTATCTTAGTTAAAATCAAACTAAGAAAAATAAAGTGCCCATTGGGGAGAAATCTTGAGAGTTCAGCACTGCAGTACCAATGGCAAGCACTCCCTCTCCTCCTCCCTTTTCATCCTTATACTCTGATAAGCACCAGTTTCTCTTGAGAGCTTTCAAAGAAGGCAAGGACACATTGCACAAGCTAAATATAAAGATCAAGTAGCTGCTCTCTGGTAAGCAAGTTTGGCTCCAAAACCCGATGACTGAAGAAATCTAGAGTAACAGTTAACCATAACAATCATCCCCTGAGACAATCGACTTGGACTCCAGAGGTCCAAGTTCAGGCTGCCACTCTATCACATATCCTCTGCCAGATTGCATAATCTCTCTGCTTTCACGTGGAGATAAAAAAATTAGGGAAAAGATGTAGCACCAAACATCTTTGTAGAATCACAGAATCAACCAGGTTGGAAAACACCTCCAAGATCATGAAGTCCAACCCTACCGTGGTCACTAGACCATGGCACTAAGTGCCACATCCAGTCTCAGCTTGAAAACCTCCAGGGATGGGGAATCCACCACCTCCCTGGGCAGCACATTCCAATGTCTGAGCACTCTCTGTAAAAAATCTCTTCCTAATCTCCAACCTAACCCTCCCCTGGCAGAGCTTGAGTCTGTGCCCTCTTGTCCTGCTGCTGGTTGCCTGGGAGAAGAGACCAACCCCCACCTGACTCCAACCTCCTGTCAGGGAGTTGCAGAGGGTGAGAAGGTCTCCCCTTCAAGCTACTAGAAACTTTCCACATTGTAGTAAATCTGCATCCCAATGAAAAACTGACTATTGCTGAAATCAGCCCAGGGTTCAGGTTGATCACATTGCTAGCAAGCTGAGCCTGCACAGCTGTAATGTCTTTAGTCATCAGTCTACACTGTCATTGTCACATGGCACCTCCATGGCACCTCCTTGCAGCCTTGGGACAAGCTGCTCTGAGCCAAGAGCTCACAGCAGCACATGAAGGTATTATGAACAGAATTGAAACACATGCTGGTCATGTACTTAGCCTTCTTGTAATCAGAAGTAACACAGAACGACCTTTAATCCCTTGGCCATGGGCAGAGCTGAGTTTGCCAAAGACAGCACTAGGCAGGAGTACAGCAAACATCACTCTCAATCCAAACAAACCAGAGCCACTGCTTTACTCAGTGTGGCAGCACAAGCCCCAAGTTTTCAAGCTCATGAGCTCTAGTCACCTAACTATACCAGGCTCAGATTCGACACTATGTCCTTACATAGTAGATATGTCTTCATAAAAAAAAAAAAGCTTAGGCACAAAATGTTAGCAGCATTTACTTACAGGGTAAAACTGACATAGTAAGTAGATACTTCTAACGTTATTTGCATAAGCTTTTCTTTTAGTGGATGTCCTTGAAAATAAACAAACTGACTTAAGAGCAATTTTGTCTCTTTTAAAACCCACCAACTTGAAAGCACAGCCAACACCCACACCAAGAGCTGAGAGTTGGTTATTCAGCTGCAATGAGATAAACATGCAGCCTCCAAGTACCTGCTTGGCCAAGAGCTACCACTGGGTCCAGCACAGACACACTGCCCTCTAACACAGGGGGACCTTCAGGTGACAGCAGCAGGTAATTCCTCACACACCAACTACACCAGCAAACATTTCACTTGGGCTTATTCCTCATCTCACCTCCAGTTCAGAGGCACTGGGTGCCATTTCTGCCAAGAGATGTGACATGCTCTGGGTTTGGTACTGCAGACACAGGTGGTGCCTCCTTAGTCATGCTCACTTGTCTTTTTGTCTTCTTGTTTTATTGAGGGATACAATTTTAAGGGGTTTTATTGCCTTAGAAAAAGACCATTTTTGCTCTGACTGGCAACATGATGCCCTTACACATGCATTTGCAATGCTCCCTCCTAACCTAACCCACCTCCTACTGAGGACTGGATGGTCAGGAAAGACGGAAAAGGTGATCCATACTTCCTTTCAGCACTTCACACTTATATATTCACACGCACATAAACACTTACCTTTACCCTCTTTGAATCAGCTACTCTGTAATTCATTATCAGCAGAATTTCTCCTCCCTTGGTAAATATTGTGCAATGCCATTGGGCCTCTGTGTCTGCTCATGTTCTGTCCCCTCAGGGGATGACAACTTCTGTAATGCACTGTTCGACCTATACCTGCCCTGGCCCTCAAGTATTTTCATCCACATACAGAAGCTCAGACTCTTAATCACAAGTCAGTTACTTCTATGCTCAAAAAAGCTCCCCAGTGCAATACAAAGAGCTCAGTTTGGCCACAAAAACTTCATGCTTCCCCTGCTTCCCATACTTTCTCAAGTAAGGAACAGTTAAGACTGCAGCATCCTGCAGAAAGAGCCACCTACAGTGGGGAAAGGTTTGAACTTTTGATTTCAGATATAAAAAGGACATTAAAAAATATGTTTCAGGCCACCACTGCAATTGTGTATCCCCATCCTTAAGAACACTTGAACACAGCCTGAATGCAAATATCTATCTGATGCATTTTTGCTATCACTAATACTCCTCCAGACAGTGGAGTACACTCAGTTTGGTCCAGGTTCTGAGCCATATATTAACACTACACACCCCTCAGTGACACACAGGGCAAATACGTACTTGTAGCTTCCTAGAAGGAGCTCACACAATGATGTAGTAGCCAGGACCTCTCTCTCTTTACCTTTCTTTTCTAGAGAACAAACAACCAAGTGTGAGAATGATCAGATGACCAGGAAGACAAAAGCTGCTACTTTGCAGCTGCAGCAGCACAGTGGGATCTCAGGCCTCTCACTGCCCCATGATGTGGTGAGACACTATCAGCCCTATAGGAAGGAAAAGGATATCTTGCTGCATCACAGGGGCAGATAACAGGGCACTGCCATTATCTCAAAGGACTGATAACCTTGCCTGTCCCCAAAAACACTTTCAGGACACTGGTGAGACATACAGGATGTGCTTTTTCTCAGCCACTTTAAAGCCAGCAATGAAACAAACCAAGTTTTAGCCTGTTTTAAGAGCTGCTTTGGTTTGTTATTACAGGTGCTGACAGTTGGATCTGCTACCATCCAAGCCTATTTCATGCCTGGCCTGCAGATAGTGTGATACCAGTGTTTACAGGAGTGATAAAAATAGTCCTTTGGAGGTGAAACACACACAACCAGTTCAGCAATTCACTCCCCACAACTGGATCATGTTTGCATGAGCTAAGTCATAGAATCAGGTACCAACTGACTGGGCTACTAACTGACCTGTTTCCAGCTGTGCTGCCTAAGGAGGGAACACCCAGAAAACACTGACACTGCTGCAAAATGCTGTCCAAAAGGAGCAAATGAACAGCAATCCTGAGGCAGTCAGGAACCAGGAGCAAACCAAACACTGACTGCAGTGCCTGGTTCAGCTTTCTCCTGTTTCCTGGGCTCCCACAGCTCCAAAGTCTTCCCTCTGACCTACTACAGCCCATCACAGCACACAGTAGGGGTTAAGAGAGAAGCAAAGAACTAATTTCAAAATTAGGCTAAAGGAAGAAATATGAAGCAACTCTTTAGCTGCCTTTCTACAGATAATGAGGGTAAGAACTGGCAAATCTGGCAACCACTGATATGAACTGCAGAGAGCAAAAGGTCAACAGCAGATGACTCCATGTGGCAGGTCCTACCACAGAGATAGCACTGAGCTTGGAAAGAAAGAAAAATGCTGTCCCATAAACATTCAGATCTCCTCAGAGAACATCTAAGTGTGATGCTGGGACTGAGAGAACTGGCCAGCAACCCTGCAAGCAGCAACCTAAAGGCAGATTGCAAGATACAAATCAGCTTCATATCCAAACTTGAAAATTTCCATCAAATGAAGACACTTTCTATCTTAAGCTCTACTTTGTGTTGTTAAACTTAATGTTATTTCATACCCTTCATTTCCTCATCCCCTGATTTTTCACCCATTCAGCACAAGGCAGTAAAAGAAGCATTCCAGTCTGCAGGAACAGTCTGTGTGCCAGGAGCATTGCAAAACAATTAGATTTAGCAGTGTGCTGGTTTGGCTGGGGTGGAAGTAATTTTCTCCACAGTGGCTATTGTGGGGCTGTGTTTTGGATCAGTGCTGAACACAGGGTTGATAATAGAGAATCACAGAGTTTTAGGGGTTGGGATGGAGCCTATAGATCATCTAGTCCCAACCCCCTGCCCTGGGCAGGGACACTTCCCACCACACCAGGTTGCTCAAGGCTTCAGCCAACCTGGCTGGGAAATATGGATGTATGGAGATGTGTTTGTTATTGCTGAGCAGAGCTCACACAGACCCAAGGCCTTTGCTGCTTTCCATACTGGTGAGGAAGTTGGAGGTGCATGGGAGATTGGGAGGAGACACAACTGGGACAGGTGACCCAACCTGACCAAAGGGATATTCCATACCATAGGACATCATGCTCAGGATATAAAATGTGAGGAAGAAGGAGGAAGGTGGGATGAACCATTCCATGTGATGTGTCCCTGCTCTCCTGGAGGTGCTGAACACCTCCTGCCCATGGGGAGCAGGGAATTAATCCCTTGTTTTGCTTTGCTTGTGTGTGTGGCTTTTCCTTTCCCTATCATTATCTTAAATACATGAGTTCTCTAGCTTTTATCCTTCTGATTCTCTCCCCCATCCTGCTGGTGTGGGAATGAGTGGCTGTGTGGAGCTTGGTGGCTGCTGGGGTTAAACTGTGACAACCAGTTAGTGTGTAACCACCCACCTCTCTTCCAGTCCTTTCATCCCTGCATCTACTTTATTTGAAAAGGACACAGTTCTCCTGCTTTAGAACATTAGTCTTTGCAATTTGACTTTACCCCAAGCTCTCACCATTAGCAGTAGGAGTCTTTGGCATCTGCAGCTGTGGCTTTTTGACACCCTTTTCTATCCGTAGAGTCGCCCACTGTTGAACAGAAAGAGAACAAGGACTTCACCAATGCAGTATTCACTTCAGAAAAAAAAAGTAAAAATAAGAAGCAGCAACCTCAAAAAGCAACAGTTAATCAAAAATGGGTTGTGATTTTCAGAGAGTATCTTCACCAGGTAATTATCACACATCTATCTTAGTTGTGTCCACAACCCCCAAACCCACACACAGTTCCCATGAGGAAACACAAACTCAGAGTATTCAATAGTACTTAAAAACCCCAAACCAACTGAGCGCTAGTTATAGAATCATTGAATTTTAGGGGTTGGAATGGACCATAGAGATCACCCAGCCCCAACCTCCTGCCCTGGGCAGGGACACCTCCCACCAGAGCAAGTTGCTCAAGGCTTCAGCTGAAGCAGAAAAAATGTCCTAACTGGGTTAAGTCAAACTGAGATCTGCACACAGCTAATTCCACTAAAAACCAAAACAGTTTCACTTAAATTTAAATTCAAGGATTGCACCCAAGATTTTTCCAAGCTGAACAAACCTGAAATTTCCCTTGACTCTGCAATTACTCATGTCTTGGCATTTTCATACAATCACAGAATGGTTTGGGTTGGAAGGGACCTTAAAGATCATCCAGTTCAAACCCCCCTGCTATGGGCAGGGACACCTTCTAGTAGACCACGTTGCTCAGAGCTCCATCCAGCCTGGTCCTGAACACCTCCAGGGATGGGAAGTCCACAACTTCTCTAGGTAATCTGAATCAGTTCTTCACCACCTCACAGTAAGAATTTCTTCCTAACCTCATCTAAACCTACTCTCCTTCAACTTAAAGCCATTTCCCCTGTTCTATCACTACATGTCCTCTTCTACTTTCTTAGAAGCCCCTGGAAGGTGCTATAAGGTCTCCCTGAAGACTTGTCATCTCCAGGCTGAATAGCCCCAGCTCTCTCAGCTCTCATTTTAGTGCTCTGAGCAGTAGAGAAGGAGGTTGAATCAGCAGCTCTAGGGTACAGCTGCAGAGAGTCCCTTTTCCTGGCCTTGGGAAGGGCTTCCAGCTCACTGGGGTTAACCGGCTCTTCTCCAGTGGGGAGGCTGAGAGAATGAGATGGAAATAGGTGATGAAGTAAGCTCTGCAGTGCAATGAGTGTCAAAGCTTCCCAGCTGCTCTGCTCCCTGTCAGAACCACAACAGAGTCAAGACATTTCCTCTCAATCCCAGCCCTCATGGGACTGGAGCCAGTTTAACCTGTTCTCAGAACAAAAGCCTTTGTTGACCTTCATTTGACTCAGTTCACAGAATGCTTTTATAGGCTTTGTTTTTACTGGGTTAACAATTACAACCCCTTTTCCACCCTAAAGCTTGTGATGTCAGAGTAGCTCCTCTGGCCTGGATCCTTCCTTTCCCTAGGGATGGAAAGCTCAGCCAATGAGGGCTGACTGTGGCTCCTCATTATGCACATGAATTCCTCCTCCACAAGACTTCATACTATTTCTAGGAATACTGTTATAATAGGCATTTTCAAGAGAGACAGGTGACCTGGCAGAAATGAGCTCGTATCAGAAGATCAGAACATTAACCTACTGAAACCTCAACAGACTAAGCAGTATGGCCAAGTTTTGGCAGTGTGGGGACTAGAGGGGTGGTTCCAGTTAGAAGCTTCCCCTAGGTCCAACAGGACCAATGCCAGTGACTCCAGGATGGACCCACTATTGCCCAAGGCCAAACCAATCAGCGATGGTAGTGACACCTCTGGGATAACATAGTTAAGAAGGAAATAAAAGTTATTGCACACAATTGTGGCCAGAGAGAGAGGAGTGAGACTATATGAGAGGAACAGCTCTGCAGACACCAAGGTCAGTGGAGAAGGAGGGAAAGGAGGTTGTACAGGAGCTAAGGATCTCCTGCAGCCTGTGGTGCAGCAGCTGTGTCCCTACAGCACATGGAGGTTAACAGGGTACAAAGATCCACCTACAGCCCACGGAGGAGACCCACATGGAGCAGGTGGATGCCCAAAGGACGCTGTGAACCCATGGGAAGCTCCTGATGGAGCAGCTCCTGGTAAGGAACCACAGACCCATGGAGAGAGGAGACCCACACAGAGCAGAGTTCCTGGTAGGACTTGTGAGTTGCTATTTGGTGCTCAGAAAGAGCATCCAACACTCTCTTCATAAAGTTCTTGCTCCAGAAATCGTGCAGTTATGAGTTCAAGCTAGACAGGGTCAAAAAGCTCAAGCCTCAGCATAAGCCATGAGGACACAGGTTATTGAGACATGCCTTTGTAATGCTCAGAAGCTTGCAACACCCTCCTGGGCTGCTGTATCTTTTGGCATTTTGCTATGCAAAGGAGGCAGTGGACAGAAATTACAGGGTCATGTAACCCAAGTGAGTCTCTACTGCTCAGATAGATGCATTTATCAACCCTATTCAGACAAGTACATTTCTTCTTCCTACACAGCATGACCTTTGCTCTCTAGGTTCATCTAACTCCAGAAAGTGCTGCAGCCCACCTGGGTGGTGGAGGGAACAGTGGCAGAGAGAGATACTGGAGAGGATAGTTCCCTTTGCCCTCTGCCCATGCCTTCCCAGGAGATGGGAGCACTGCCACAAGCTTGACACCAGCGTGGCATCTTGTACAAAGGTTGCACAGAGGGTTCCAGGGGACAGCTGACTTGTGCTCCACAAGTCAGTAGCTGAGGCAGTTTGACTTTCCATGTCTATTCTCCCAGGGGATTTAAGCATGCTTAAGAAAACAGGCAAGGATAAGACCAGTTCCACATCTTGGCCAGGAGCCATTGGGCATTCATAAGGTCCCACGTCTACCAAATGCTACAGCAAACAAGTCTGAAGTCCTCTACGTCAGCTTTTTCTTCCCTCAATCCATCATACTTCCAGAAACTATGCATGTTCCAGCAAGTCATTTTTACTTACCTCCAATTTAACATCTAATTCTCCCCCTTATTCTCAGGCATCTGAATTAAAGGCACTACCATCAGAGCTAGATCTGAACTATGATCAAGTGAAAAGCTTGTTTATATCCAAGTTGGAAAACAAAAGAGACACCACATGCAACAGTGTGAGTAATTCCCCTTCCTTCCTGCTAACTAGAGAGATGCACCATCCATTGCTGTTTCAGCTGTTTCCTGTGCTAAAGGACAAGTTTATGCTACAAAGAAAGACCTACCATGATGGGAGCTGATCCATCCCACAGAGAGGAAAAGAATGTGCTTGTGCATTAGAGATCAAAAAGCATGGAACAGTTCTAAGTCATAGCCTCCATTCTTCTCAGGAAAGGAGCAAAAAGCAGAGTGGCAGATCTTTTGGATCTATCACTTACCAGTAACACTGACACATATCTGTGTGGCTTCTCCTGAGCAGGTGTAGCAGGATGCTCTGCCTTGGAATGGGGTAAAACAGCCTGAACAATGACTTATTAGAACAGGTTGCCCAGGGAGGCTGTGGCTGCCCCAACCCTGGCAGTGTTCACAGCCAGGTTGGCAGAGCCTTGAGCAACCTGCTCTGGTGGGAGGTGTCCCTGCCCAGGGCAGGGGTTAGGGCTGGATCATCTCTAAGCTCCATTCTCACACCTAAAATTCTGTGATTCTATGATTTTATTTGCAAAGCTCTCAGTAGTGAATGGAGCAAGGACATCATGCTGCTTTTGGTGTTGGATAATGCTGAAACCATTCTGACCCATCAATCCCAAAGTTAAACATCCTGAGAGTGAGATGAAGATATGATAAACCTGGTAAAGAACAAATGATACTACTGATAACTTATCCAAAGCTGCTGAGCTGAAACAGCCTGGAGACACCTGACTGACACTCAGTCACTTTAGGCTATAACAGCCCAGTCCCAAATTATAAGGGTCTTCTAACATATTTCTCCTTGGAGTGTATGTGTGAGGATTTCTCCCAGGAGTGGGACTCTCTTCAAGGTTACTCCTCGGGGCTGAGCCAAAGCGATTTGCCCACAGTCATTGGTCTGGGGGAGTAACATCAATCTCTACTCAGTAATTGGTTTTGCTGCTTTAATACAATTGCTTTAATTTGCTTTGGAGTGCACTGTATTAATAGTTGTTAGAGCTCCTATACTGTGGAGTAAATAACTATGATTAAACCCTTTTTGTCTCATCGTTCTCATAATAAATCACATCTATTTATATAACTCCATCTGCTTTACCATCATTAATCCCTGCGGGACAAAGTTGTCCAAAGGTTCAGTTACACCTGTATAATCCTTTAGACACAAACCATTGGCAAAGTGTGGGGCTGAGACTGAATCCAGCTGCACCCAAACTCCTCTCTGAGAAGGAGTCCAGAGAGCAAGGAGGTCCTTTCTGCACCTTGGGCCTCAATGGGAACTTCTCTAACAAACTTTGACAGAAGCTCCTACTCCTGTCTCAAGAACCTTGGTGCAGACCTAGGTTTCCAGTAGGGATTACTGAAGCAGCTTTGGGGAATGAGTAAAGAACACCCAGGTCCTGAACAGACTGAACAGCTCTGCAGCTGGGGCTACCCACTGAGCTAAAAATGTGGAGGTAGAAAGCAGCATGAACACAGAACTACAAACATCACCACAAGTCTGAGCTTGAGATTTTAGTGTTCCAACTGCTCACAAGAAAAGTAGCTTGGATGCCTCAATCAGAGAAACATAGAATCATAGGGGTTGGAATGGACCTTAGAGATGATGCAGCCCCTGGGCAGGGACACCTCCCACCAGAGCAGGTTGCTCAAGGCTCAGCCAACCTGGCTGTGAACACTGCCAGGCTTGGGGCAGCCACAGCCTCCCTGGGCAACCTGGGACAGGGTCTCACCACCCTCACAGGGGAAACTTCTGCCTAACATCTAACCTCAATTTCCCTCCTTCAATTTGTGCCCATTGCCCCTTGTCCTGTCCCTGCAGCTCCTAACACAGATCCCTCTGCAGCTTCCCTGGAGCCCCTTCAGCTCCTGGAAGGTGCTCTGAGGTCTCCACACAACCTTCTCTTCTCCAGGCTCAACAGCCCCAACTCCCTCAGCCTG